CTATATCTACAAATGCGTTCTTTATTTTTACTATCATACTTACTAGGTTTAGCTAATAATATTGTTTCCCATCCTAATTGACTTGCGTCTATTTCTACGACTATATATTCTGATTCTAAGGGAAGTTGTAGGTTTGGTAAATTTTTACAAATGTCTTTAACTTTTCTAACTAGAGCTATGTCTTGTTGATTGAAATATTTTTGTCCTGTGGGTGTGGTCTTACTATATAGGGGTCCTATTATTTTACTTAGGTTGGGAATATACTGTAACAACCCTCATACTGTTTACTGATTAATGACTGATTGATTACCGATAATCACCGATTACTGCTAAACGGAACTGATAATGACTGATAACTGACTGATAATTGAACTGATTAAAGTACTGAACTGACTGACTGAAATTGGAAACTGAATTGACTGAGTATATGTTAGTTAATTGCATTCTATCTGTTTGATTGTCTGATTATCTGTTCATGTTTATATGTTTAAACTGCTAATTGAAGGCCTTATCGGCGGCCGAATTAGAAACCGATTGATGTTCCGTGACCCTCATAATTAATGATTCCCCCCTTCTGTACTGTTTCACTGTTTTGTATAGGCTGACTGTTCACTGTACCGCTATCTAGGGTTGAGTCCCTAGTTTGAATAAATGTAAATATTGTGCATACTGTTCTGTACTGTTTATGTATGAATGCATGAAAAATCTTTTGGCATACAGACTGTCACAGCTCAATGGACACTATTTATTTACTGTATTGGCTTCCGCCAGGCCCGGTACTCTATTTTACTGTATTACTGTTAAGCAGGCCTTCGGTAATCTCGGATTACTGGCCGGTTATGGTGCTAAACCCATAGGGCCGGGTTTGGGTCGTGACATATACATTCGTGCATAATTTAAAATTCCTAAAAAAGACTGAAGTTGTTTTGTATCTTTTAATTTATTTGGATAATCTAAAATTTTCTTGACTATATGAGGTTGTAACCTAATTTTCCCATCTCCTAACTCCATTCCTAAAAATTCTATATGAGGCCTATTTAATACCATCTTTCTCTTGCTAATGATTATTCTGTTATTTATGAATTCTTCTAATGCTATATATAAATGATCTATGTAGCTATTTTTATCTGGACTGAATACTAATATGTCATTTATGTATACCAGTATAAAACTATATTTATTAAATATACTATCCGTCTTACGCTGAAATATGGAATGTGCATTTTTTAGTCTAAAAGACATAACTAGCCATTCGTAATGTCCTTGTGGGCAACAAAAGGCTGTCCACTGTATGCTTTCTTTTTCCATTTTTATCTGCCAAAATCCCGACTTGCAATCAAATTTACTAAATATTTTTGCTGTCTATATTTTGTTTATGAGCTGATCTTTATCTGGTATATTATATTTATCATCTTTTGTGTTATCATTTAATCTTTTATAATTTATAACCATTCTAGTTTTTCCTTTTTTTATCTCTGGATGATTTCTAACCATGAATGCAGTGCTCCTATGTGGACTATTACTTGGTCTAATTACTCCTAAATCTAGTAACTCCTTAATCTATGTTCTAAATTCTTCTATATCTGCTAGCGTATGATCTATTTGTGCTGAGGTAATCCTATAATCTTTGTTTTTTATATCTAAACTGGCTAAAACTTTATTTCTTTCCCAATATTTCATGGGTTGTTCTCCTAAAATCTCTGTTGTTTCAGCTAATCTTATTATTTCATCTAAATCATTTTCTGTTCGTCTGTATACTGGTTTTTTCTTTAATTTCTCTATCTTTGTTAAAAATAATTCTTGGTTAACTGTTTGTTGAAAATCTTCTAAGTTTCAATAGTCTCATTTTTCTTTAGAATCAAACTCTTCTAAATCTTCTAATTCATAATTTTCTGTCTACATTTTTCAAAGAAGTATTTGCTATCTCATCAGGTATATATTTTTGGGCTAGCTCGGGAAAAATATTTCTACTAGGAAATAACAAAATTCATTCTATATATTTAGAATTATTCATGCTTTCCACTGTTTATTTAAGTTTTGTGTCTACAATCACATTTGTTGAAGCTGTCAATTGTTTCACTGTGACTCTTTTTGCTTCTCTTATACACAAATACCTTCATTATGTATATTAGGATATTTACGTTCACCACCCTTGACAATTAGTATAATTACATCTTGCCCCATTAATATGGGATAATTACACAAGTCTCCTCTCACTTGAACTGTTGTGTATACCCATTATGATACATTTTGTTAGCCTTATAGATGTTTTGACCATGATATCAACATATCATTGTTGGAAAATAATAATTTTTTGGCAACTTTAATTCGAAATTAAAGTGGGACCCAACTGTCGGTTGAGGTAGATCTTAGTGGTTTTGTATTTTCTTAAGTGAGAATATTGCAATACAAAAATAATGAGCTGAAACCATTGAGTTGTGAATGAGAATTGTCTCATAAAGTGTGCATCAATAAAGTTAGGTTTAGATTTGGATTTAATCATGGTTTGGACTAGGCCTAGACTTGTACTTGTGCATGTGCTGGGTTTAGTCTTAAACTTAGACCTAGTCTTAAGCTTTGGATTGAGTTGTGCTGGGCTTAGTTTGTACATGTGTTTAAGATTGGGTTTGGATCAGGTTGTGATTTAACACTCGTATTCATTTTACAACCTATCTAGTTTAATTCTCAAAACTTGTACATTATATACACATTATGATTTATATAATGATTTTGGAGTTTTGAACCTTTGTAACTCTGATCCTAATGGCTAGAGTTGATGGCATTTGATGACCCATGTTAGCCTTCATGGCTAAGACTCTCCCCTACTAGTATAAATAGAGACATTTCTCCTCCAACTTAGTAGGTTATTTTAGAGAGGTTTTGTGATGGAAAATGAGATGGTGTTTTGAGAAAAAAAGTTGAAAATGGTTTTTTATACAAAAAAAAATTATTTTTATCTTTTTTTGTTAGCCTCTTCTTTGGTTCTTGTTAGAGAGAGTGCATCCATTGTCAAGTTCGCCGAAACTATTCAGAAGGTGTTTTTGTATTAACTGGTTTCGACCGTCGTATCTTGGAAGGTAGACGCCGGCATACCTCCAGCACCCATCAAGAGATGGTGAATCTGTTTTAATGAAACTGTGGTATCACACAGGTTTCGTTTTGTTTCTTTTCTTATTATTTGTTTTTTAATTTTTCAGAATTTAGTTTACCTCAGTGAGTTCTAATATTTAGTTGTCCATGTTAATAATTTGTTCTTTTAGTAATGTAATATAATTTATTTCTGTATTTAGTTGTCGTTTATTCTGTATTTCATCCTTTAATAAAAAAATTATTTTGTCATTTCTATTTAATTTATTTTATATATTTTTCTTGTATTATTATGGAAAAATACCAACAATCATAATATGAAATGTCTAAAATACTCTTAATTATTTAAAGTAATTAAATAACCCTAACTGATTGAAATGATTTGTGCTCATTGATATGTATTGATATAAAAGAAGAAGAAATGACTAGAATTCACATAAATTCACTCTTATTTCCATATGCATTTCATTACGGCTAAGTATGAGACTCTGAAGAAGGTGAAAGTGGCCATTTGAGGATCTAAGGAAGGAGGTGGTGAATACAAAGGTCCCACAACAAAGAAAAATTCATTACACAAATAATCTAAAGGTAAGAAAGAAAGGCATTTTTACTATGTTTGGTTCTACTTTTTTGAGTTATTTTTATAATTTTGATTTAAAAACTGTTTTTTGAAAAGTGACTATTGCTTGGTTTCACTTTTTAATTTTGCAAATGGAACTCCCTCCACATTAGATTTTGAGCAACGTAAATGATGAAGTTCAACAATAAAATAACAAATAAAAAAATAAGAACATATCACATCAAAAGCAATACAGAATCTTGGCATGACAACCGAACAAGAAGAAGTTCGGTTTGGTGAAGATGTAATAAACAAAGCAATAGGTAGTCTATTGAGGCAAGTAGAGTTATTAGTGCATGCTCTATCCATCTAATCACTTTATGTAAAATACAAAAAGGCAAGTTTGATAATTATTTTATTTTTAGTTTTTAGTTTATATTTATAAAAAATTTAAAAATTATCATAAAAACTTCTTCGGCAATTTTTTTAATTTATAAATAATTGTCTCAGTTTATAAATTTGAGGAAAAAATATAAACTTAAAAAATGAGTTTACTTTTTTAGTTTTTAATTTTTTTTTTTTCAAATAATTTTCTTTTCAATTAATTTTTTTTTCAAATATTTTTTTCCCAATTAATTTTTTTTCAATTATTTTTTTAATTAATTTTTTTCAAATATTTTTTTATTAATTTTTTTTTCAATTAGTTTTTTTTTCAAATTATTTTTTTTCAATTAATTTTTTTAATTAATTTTTTTCAATTATAATGTGTGTAATCCCATTGTCATAAATAATAAAAATAAATATAAATATTTTAGCCCTGAATAAACATATTTTTTAGTTTATGTTTTTAAATTTTTTTAAACATTTTGTTCAATCCAAACGCGTTTGTAATTTATGTTTTTCAAAAAATAAACAAAAACCAATTTATAGAATTTTTGTAAACATAAACAAAAAAAAAACGTAAACGTTACTAAACACTACCAAAATATTTCTCTATTTCCCAAATGCTTCTAGAAAATTAGATTTTGAATTTTTTTTTCCCTTAATTTTTTGGATAACCAAACAAAAATTCTAAAATTTCTTAAAAATTGAATTTAGAATTTAGGAATCAAACCGCGAGATTGACATTGAGATTACGCTTCTATTATACTGTGATTTGTCTTTCGTTAATGAAGTAGGATTTGATATATTTCACATACATCACCAAAATGGTAATTAGATAAATTTCATCTTTTTTTAGTTTCTACTTATCATTCTAACTTGAAAATTTGGGAATAAATCATTTATTTGTAGATTAAGCTGTTGAGGATGAATACTTGGATTATGAGGCATTTTATTTTATTTTCATTCTGCATTTTAGAAAACATCATTTCTTATTTCACCAAAACGATTAACATTTCAATTCATGATTTTACAACAATGCATTGAATTGCCAGAGTCTAACAAACAGTAAAAACTAGTTGCATCAATCATCATCTTCATCACTGTCTCAGATGTTGGACAAATCTTTCTAAATTCTTACAAGAAGATCCACCTTTCTCAATGCTCTTTCTAGCAATTTCCTTCAACTTCAAACTATTCGCTTTCATATCATCATCAGAAAGCAAATTCTCAATCTTGTTCTTAATTTCGTGCCTCGATACAATCTTATTTTCATCGTATTCCAACCTTAAACCAACTTTCCAGACATCACAAATATAACTTCTGTTATGAAATTGGTCCGCAAAGTAAGGCCAACAAAGAAATGGTACCCCATTGCTCACACCCTCCATTGTTGAGTTCCAACCACAATGTGTAAAGAAACAAGCAATTGCTGGGTGACCTAACACCTTCTCTTGAGGTGCCCATTCGACAATCTTCCCCCAACCAGCCACTTTCTCTGCGAACCCATCTGGGTATTCGGCAAATGAACGATTTGTGAGGTCTGATCGAACAATCCACAAGAATGGTCGGCCTGCAAGTAGGACGGGACAATGAATCAATCTACTATTAAATTTAACGATTTTGGGACACTAGTTAGTCTTCTAAAGTGTACACGTAATGGAAATTTGGACACAAGGTCCAAAATTAAAACTAGACTTATAGCGTAAAGATCAAATTGAAACAATAGGAACCAAAATGAAATTTGGATTAAACTATACTGCTAAAAAGTGTACTTTACCCTAGATTAGCTTGATTAAAACTCCTTTAAGATCAGTTAAAATGATAAACAAGTCAAGCTTAAACACATTTTGAAATTCGTTAAGTTTTCAAAACAAACTTGAATAATCCACTACTCTACTCAGCTAGACTTGACTCCTTTACAGCTTTACCTGCAAGTTCAAGACCAAGGGCCAATTCAAGGAACTGGTTTTGGCTGAAGACTGTTGTGCTGCCAAAAGCAACATAAACAACTGAACCTATAGGCTGTTCATTGAGCCAGTTCCAACAAGTTGAATCCTGGAGCCTCAAGCTTCCGCTAGAATGCCTCTGCTCATCGCTCGTGAGCAGTGGTCCGACAGGCAGCATTTTGGGAACCAACTGGCAAATTGGCGGGTTGAGTTCGTAGAATGTGTTGCAGAGAAGCCAGGTAGAGAAACAATAGGGACCAAAATGAAATTTGGATTAAACTATACTGCTAAAAAGTGTACTTTACCCTAGATTAGCTTGATTAAAACTCTTTTAAGATCAGTTAGAATGATAAACAAGTCAAGCTTAAACACATTTTGAAATTCGTTAAGTTTTCAAAACAAACTTGAATAATCCACTACTCTACTCAGCTAGACTTGACTCCTTTACAGCTTTACCTGCAAGTTCAAGACCAAGGGCCAATTCAAGGAACTGGTTTTGGCTGAAGACTGTTGTGCTGCCAAAAGCAACATAAACAACTGAACCTATAGGCTGTTCATTGAGCCAGTTCCAACAAGTTGAATCCTGGAGCCTCAAGCTTCCGCTAGAATGCCTCTGCTCATCGCTCGTGAGCAGTGGTCCGACAGGCAGCATTTTGGGAACCAACTGGCAAATTGGCGGGTTGAGTTCGTAGAATGTGTTGCAGAGAAGCCACGTAGAGAGTTCAATACTTTGGTTGATGGACAGAACATTTTCAAAGAAAATCTTCTGTAATTTGGGATCACTTGTGTTGTACCAACTAAACTCGGTGGTGCTCCAAGCAGGAACGTCCTTTGACAAGATGATGAGCTCATTTCTCAAAACAGTTCCTGCAGGGAACAGAAATCAACAGGTTAATGTTTGATTGTTGTTTTTGTTTTTGTTTTTGTTTTTGTTTTTGTTCTTCATGTTTTCTGGGATAGAAATAATGTACAGTTTGAATACATGCACCCATTGTTTCAATGTCATTTTTATTTATGTGCAAAAATAGTTTTCGAAAATTCAAAAAACTTAAAGTGGATTGTTTTCAGAAAATAAAAACAGAAAACAAATTGTTGTTGTCATGGTTGGTTGTATTTTCATGTTTTAGAAAACAATGTTTGGCTTATTGTTTTTAAAAATTTATTTTTCATATAAATTAATGAAAGTCAACGGATTTTTTCGCCCTTTTTTGTGTTCAACAAAAACAAACTTCATTGGATGAAATTATTCTTCACTTTTAAAAAGTAAAATAAATAAATAAAATCCCACAATAATTTGAAAAATATTTTCCGATCAAAACAAACAGAGCATTGAATAAATTAGACAGAATAAGAAATTGAATAGATATCTTCTTCTTCTTACCATTCATATCAAAAACCCCTAATTCAACAAGCTTTGGAAGGTGAGGAAGTATGAGTAAACCCCCTGGTCCAGCAGGCCACACTACAGCTTGCTCAATTCCCATCTCTTCTGCAACCTCTAGTATCCACCCTAGGGTTGCATCTGCTATGACACACCTAATCATCTTCTCCTCCGATTGGCCAATCTTTTCAATCAAATCCTTAAGGTCATGTTTGTTTGGGTGGACATGAGCTTGGGATTGGACTAATAGTCCAATAAAATTATTAATCCGATGTTTGGTTAAACAATTGAAGTACGGATTAATTATTTTAAACTTGACTATTAGTTAAGATAGGATACATAATCCAACGGATTGATAGTCCTAGGACTATTAGTCATAGGAATACTAATCCAGTCCGCCCAAACAAACATGGCCTAAGATGACCCGGCATGACTCGCCGGATACTCTCTATTACTTTGACACCGTCCCTCTGATCATCACCGGGTCCCAATCCGTCAGGAATCGAAACTAGTCTTACCCGGTTTTTCAATTCTTCATCCTTGTGATCTGGCATAGCACTCATGATCTTGGCATGTATGAACTCCGTGTTAACAACTGTAACTTTGATCCCATAATCAGCAATTTTGTGTGATAACTTCAAGAGAGGTACGACATGCCCTTGTGCCGGGTATGGCACAACCACTACATGCGCTTGCTTGGTCATCATCACAGATTCTTTGTTTCATGAGACTCACCAAAACAACCTGTTCAGTAATAATGGTGTGGATGGATTGAGTCTTATAAACAGCCTCTCCATCTATAGGGACGTTTACACCCAAATCTTAATTTATTAACATACATTTCATTAACTCTTACTTAAAATTGGTTAGATTTTCAAATTTTATTAAAATTTTAATAGTTAAAATTGTCTTTAAAATAATAATTATCTATCATTTATGATTATCTATAAAAGAACATAATGATTTGACATATATTTTAATTTTTAAAATTTTAAAATATTAATTTGCAAATTGAAAAAATTTTAAAAAATTATGTCAAAAAAAATTTTTTTTTTTTTTGAAAAAATTATTTTTTTGTGTAAAATTAAAAATTTTGTATGTACAAAAATATATAATGATGAAATATTAATTCAAAATTGAAAAAAAAAAAAATTTTAATTTTAAAACTAAAAAAAAAAACTGTTAATCTTTTCAATTTAATGAAAAAAATTAGGATATGAGTCATGCTAATCCATACAACACATAGGATGATCGGTCTAGAGTGATTCTCATTTTTCAAGATTTTGACTGGCATGCGTTGAAGTTTTGGAACAGAAAAAAACCAATTGATTTCTACACAAAAAATAAAAAAATCATTTGGCTTGCATTTTTCTTTGTATAAGTAACTTTAATAATATATATTTGGTACTGTTTGGGAAGATGGTTTGAGAGTTTTTTTTTATTATTTTAGTCATAAAAAATAGAATAAGTTATTTTAAGCGCAATAAATAAAACATCACATCTAATTCATAATTATTACACTCTTCTCTCACAAAAAAAGTTAAAAAATTTAAAAAGTCAAAAAATTCTTCCTAAACCAAACCTTTTAGCCCATGTTAAAATAGTCAAAAAGTCAAAAAGCCAACCCACTTCTCAAACAAAGAGTTTGGAAAAGTTTATGGTATATATACACCATCTTTGGTTACAATCAGTTTGAGTTACTATCTTTATTTCTTTTGTTATGACTTCCTATAATATTAGTATGATATATTATGATGTTAATTATAATATTATTTTGATTATAATTTAAGAGTTATTTAGTTATGCTTTATGTAATGTTTAGTTATAACTTTATTTTTTTAAGAAGTGTTTACATACAAATCTTAATTTATGAACTTATACTCCATTTAAGGCTCCGTTTGGGAAGATGATTTATGAGTTTTTTTTGGCTATTTTAGCCACAAAAGACAAAATATATTATTTTAGCCACAACAAACAAAACATCACATCCAACTCATAATCATTAGACTCTTCTCTCACAAAAAAAGGTCAAAAAAGCTAAAAAATCAAAAAGTCCTTCCCAAACTAAACTTTTTAGATAGCCACAAAAGACAAAATATGCTATTTAAGCCACAACAAACAAAATATCACATCCAACTCATAATCATTACACTCTTCTCTCACAAAAAAAGGTAAAAAAAGCTAAAAAATCAAAAAGTCCTTCCCAAACCAAACTTTTAGCTCAGGGCTAAAATAGCCAAAAAAGCCAAAAAGCTAAAAAACAAACTCACTTCCCAAACGAAGCCTAAGTCCTAATTAAGATTTTTTGAACATTCAAGTTCCATTAAATTTTTAATAGTCAAAATTGTCTTTCAAATAATGATTATTTATCATTTATAACTATTTATAAAAGAACATAATGATTTGATATTTCTTTAAAATTAAAAAAACCAAAAGAAAATTATATGTTAAAATATATATTTTTTTAAACTGAATTTTTTTCTTGTAAAATTGAAAATTTTGTGTCTATAAAAGAGCATGATGATAGAACATTGATGTGCAAAAAAAAAAAAAACTTTAAAAATGAAAAAATTGATAATGTTTTCAGTTTTAAAACTAAAAAAAAAAAAAACTATTAATGTTCTTTGTTTTATTGAATAGTTGAATCAAATCAATAACTAGAAGGGCAAAAATATTTAAATCTCCTACTCTATTTTTTTTATCAGTTAGTAAGATAATTATTTGTACATTATTATACAAAATTGATAATGTTCTTAATTTTAAAATTTTAAAAAAATTGATAATATTTTTAATTTTACTAAATAAAAATTTTAAAAATTTTAATAATACCCAAGCTACCATAAATAAATTTTTTAAATAATTGACTCATCTATATATAACAATCAAGCCACTGCCAATAGGTAAGAATAATAATAATAATAACTAATAGTAAATAACCCTCAAAAAGCTAAAAAGTCTTTCCCAAACCAAATTTTTTAGCCCAGATTAAAATAGTTAAAAAAGCCAAAAAATCAAAAACCCAACCCACTTTCCAAATTAACCCTTAATAAGGTAATTTCGATAGAGTTATTCTAGATATTTTAAATAATTTATTAAATTTTTTATTAAAGATCGCATATTGGCTAACACATATATGAATTTGTGTGAGTTTCACATGTGAAAATTTTGATAAAAAAATTAATAAATTATTTAAAATTTATAATTTTTTCCAATTCGATATTCAAAGGTGTTGAGGGACCGTAATAAGGTAAATTCCATATTCAAAGGTCACCCATTAAGTCCGCGAACCAATCGAGAACATAGAGGGAGCATATACCAGTACTTTAACATTTTTTTTCTTCTGACTAGTAAGTCTTCTTCTCTGCAGTACTTCTTTACATATAAGCCTGAACTAGTTAGCCTATCTAGTTTTTGGCTTGATATATTTGGCAATTTGTCCAGGTGAGTGATTTGTGAGTCACGCTGTCTAAGTTCAAAATTTAGTATATTTGTTAGTCAAATTGACATGGATTTCGCCTTTTATTATTACAATATTTGTGTTTTTCCACTTGGTTTTATAAAATTCTTGTTGATTCAGTCATAGGAAAAGGACTTCTCATCAACATTCTATGTTATTTTTTGGAAAGTCCGCTTGCTTGTTTTCTCTTTTCAGATAATACTTTTTAGAAAATTTTACTTTCTTATTTTTCGTATTTTTTTGTTTTTACTAAATTTTTTTAATATTTTAAATAATTTTTTTACTTTTTAGACACACCTAACTTAAATACACCTAAAAGTAAAAAAATTATAAAAAAAAATCTTTTAAAAATTCACTAAATACCAAAAATATAAAAAAAAATACAAGAATTCAGTACATTTTTTGTTTTTCTATGTATTTATTAATTTTTTAAAATATTTTTTCACAAATTTTTTACTTTTTAGATGCATCTAACTAATGTGCATCTAAAAAAGTAAAAAAAAATGTTTAAAATTTAAAAATATTCACTAAAAACAAAAGAATATGAAAATAAAAAAACTCAATTTTCAAAAAACTTAATTCAGAAAACTCGAACCAAACACACTGATTATTGTGCATTTAAAGGAATACTAGATATTGTAAGCACACATGATACAGGTATATTATAATTTTGGGCAAAGTTTAGCATTTGTGTTATTTTAGTCTATAATCTTTAAATTTTGATAAATTTGATCTTAAATTTTGAATCTTGTTTTAAATAAGGACAATTGAAAACATTGTTGTTCCATTTCATGACCTTTAAATTGTGATACATTTGATCCTGAATTTTAGATCTCATTTTAAATAAAAACAATTGAAAACACTGTTGTTTCATTTTAAGGGCTAAGTTGTCAATTTGATAAAATATAAACTATTTAGACAAAAATAAATGTTAAAAAATTATTTTTGAATTTTTAAAAATTATTTCTACCCACTAAAGATAAAATTATATAAAAATGATAATTTTTTTGTATTTTTATTTTTAAACTTTTTCACTAAATTAATTTTTAGTATGTGTTTCAATGATGATCATATAATGGGTGTTTGTTTTAATTGATATTTTTGGATAGTTATCATGTAAATAGATAATTGTATTTGTTATTAATAAATATTTTTAGATGATTGTCATGTAATAAATGGTTATAAGATTTTTAATGTATAATACGTTTAATATATAAAATGTTTTTAGTTTTGAATTTTTTGATTTAATGAATTGATTTTAATAATGACATTAAATTGTCACCATATTTCACTTTTGAAAAAATAAAAATTCTATTAAAGAAGATAAATAGCAAAAAAAAAAAATTATTTTAAAAAATTATTACTACACTCCCAAAATGTAAAATTACAGAAAAGGACTTCTTGTCGTCATCACATTATAAGTTGCATTGTTATCATCAAAATTCTATGTTATTGAAAGATTATTGTCCAGATCTCTCAAAAAAAAAAATTTGTATCATATGCACCTTATAACTCTATAAAAGAAAATGACTTGCTTGCTTATTATCTTTGTACTATCGTGCATTGTAAGAAATACCGCGGAGAATTCTTACCTGTCAATGTTTGTTTTTTTAAATTTCATCTTTAGTGACATTTTTTTTGAGATTGTCACAATTTTTTTTATTTTTTGACCCATTTTGTGTGGATAAATCTAAATAATATTTTTAAAAATCAAAATATAAAATTAAAAAGTCAAAATAAGCTCAAAAAGTTCACTGTTTTTGTATTAATTTTGTTTTTTCCGAATATTTTTTTATTTTTTTGGTTCTTCTCATTGAGTAAAATTTAGAAGTCTAAAATTTTTTAAAAAATTATTTCAAAAAAAAGAGAGAATTAGTGAAACATCTCTTTCTAACTTTGTGTAGTAGGAAAGATCTAAAATTTTTTAATTATCTAAGGTCCCTCAACATTTTTATAGAGAATTCGACTTAGAAAAATTTTGCCCGACTCAGAGAAATTTTGAAATTTCTCTAATATGATCATAGAGAAATTTCAAAATTTCTCTGTAAAATCATAGAAATTTCTCTGTGAAAATTGAAACTTCTTTGAGTCGGGGTGAAATTTCTCTAGGTCAATCAAATTTTTCTGAGTTGAATTTTCTCTATATAAATGTTGAAGGATCTTAACTACTACAAAATTATTATATATTATTTATCTTATAAAACCTTAATCTTAAGAATCTTTTAAAAAAATGCCTCTGAAAAAAAAATCACTAAAGACTAAGGGGGTGTTTGGGAAGGAAGTTTTTTGTTTTTTTTTTTTATATTTTTTTTCACTAAATGACAAATTTGTTACAAAATCAAAAAAAACTAATCCAAACAAA